CTTCGGGGCGCTTTACCGCGTGCACGTGCGTGTCTGCACCGCACCAGCTCCGTATCCGACCCCCGGGCGCGCGCGACGGCGCGGTGACAGCGCTGTCCTACTGCAGTTTCACGCGGTTGCAGGTGGGTGCCCCAGCCGTGCCCGCGCCCTCTGCTGCGCCCCTTGGGACGCGGGCTCCCAAGCCCAGGAGCCCGCCCCCGCGCCCCGAGGCCGGAGGCGCTCACTTCCCTCTGGCTCCGCCTCTGCACCTTGGACCCTGGCTCTCTTGGGATTCTTACCTGTTTCCCGCCGGGTTGTGAGCTGTCGAAAGCGGAGGCTGTGTTTTATTTAGCTGTGGGTCTCTAGTGTCTAGCATCCTGCCTGGGTCATCAGGGGAGCTGCGCGGTTTTGGAGAATAAACGCACGATGTGAACAGATCGCTTCCTCTTGGGAGCGCTCTATCCGGCTTCCCCTGCTGATTTCATGGCGCCTTTGCTGCAGTTCATTCTCCAACACAGAGCTCTTCCTATTTAAACCCCGCTCTATCGACTGTTCATTGCCTCTTTTAACGTTTCTTTAAGTAAAAATCCTCTGTCAGTGAGCAGCCAGTATCTAAAATTCCTCCCCCCAGCGTCCTGGGCCTATGTCACTGCCACTGTCACTACTTCTCAGGTGTGGCAGGGACGGAGTGCTCAGCGTCAGGCACCACAGTGGCCTTGGGCAAATTACTGAGACGCCCAGTGAGGGTCACATCTTACTCTACACCTGCAAAGATGTCTTCTGAATTCCTTGCGTTTTCTGTTCATCTAAAAGATGTGGAACAGGGCTCGGTGGCTCAAGTCTGCCTGTAACCCCGGTACTTTAGGAGGCTGAGGCAGAAGGATCCTTTGAGCCCAGGAGTCCAAGGCCAGCCTGGGTAAAGTAGTGAGACTTTGTCTCTACAAAAAAAGCCCAGAAGGTCGAGGCTTCAGTGAGCGGTGATTGTGTCTCCAGTTGCTGCACTCCAGCCTGGGCAACAAAGTGAGATCCCAACTCAAATATATATACAGGGAAACCCCCTCCCAACAGAATTTATTTATAAAAATGATGTGTTTATTCATATATGTTTAAACTTCAGTCATCTTCAAAGTATGCTCCGTGTGTAATACATCTATCAAGATGCTTTTTCCACTGTTCAGTTTTTGAACCTGTCAATTTTGATATCATTTAGTTCTGCTGCTTTGGCTTCACCTCTTCCACACTGGCAAAATGTTTCCCTTTAAGGACCTTTTTCATCTGGGGAAACAAACAAAGAAAAAATGACATTCTGGGTGAGATCGAGTGAATAGGGAGGCTGAGGCACAGGGGTCTTACTATTTTGAGTCAAAAACTGCTGAAACCTCAGTGAGGTGTGGGCAGGTGCACTAGCAAATCGCCCATCATGAAATGGGCAAACACATTGAAAGAATCTCCAAAAAAAATTCACTGAAGCAGAACGCAGCCTCTCACAACAAGGCTAACTAGTGCATTGATGCCAAAGGGTTTCTAGAATACTGACCTAGCAAGAGAAGCCTATACTACAAGGGGCCACCCTCCAAAAAATAATTGGTTTTTTGGGGGGGTCCCCCTGTTATATATGATGTGGGGAATACTTAACAAAACTCGATGGTATTCCCAGTAGAAACAGAGTAATATTTCATCTTATATAGTTTTCTGGCAATTTTTGAGGACAGACAAAATAAAAGTATGGAGACAGTGAGTGTCTGAAACCACATGAAATCATTTCCTCAGCTTTCATTTTACATAATTCAACTTTTGCATAACCAAGTCATTTATTTTCATTAGAGATAAATGCTGTCACTTTCAAAGAATAGCGCCAGGGAATATTTTGTCAAAAGTTAACTTCGTGCTATGTGAACTGTGTGAAGAAAATTGTGATATTTGTGTTCTCAAGGTTTTCAAAAGTAATGAAAATGTTTGTTTAATTATCTGTGTATATCCATGAGGGAAAAATCATATTCTTCCAAATCAAGTAGTGTGCTGATCATAAGCAAAGTGGTTTCAGACAAAATGAGAGCTTCACTGGTGTGCTAAGATCTGAAGCATTTGGGTCTAGTTAGAAATTCTGTCTTGTCCCCGAAACCATTTGCAATGGACTTGAGGGGAAAAGTTCATTGATGCTGAGATGAGTACCAGGAAAGTAGCTCTTCAGAATTTCTGCAAGAGACCATACTGACCCTGGGTGGGTTCCAACAATAATATATCTAACACGTGATACACACCGTGGAACCGAATAACTGAGGGTTAGGCACTTTCTCATATTAGCCGTGTGACCTTCGACAAGTTACGTAACTTCTCTGTGCCTCAGTTTCCTCATTCGTAATATAGAAAGTGCTTAACCCATAGTGTGGTGATGATGGCTTAAAAAGCTGCTGCAATCCCAGCATTTTGGGAGGCCAAGGTGAGGGGATTGCCTGAGCCTGAGGGTTCGACACCAACCCAGGAAACTTGATGAGACCTCATCTCTACAATAAGTCAGAAAAATAAGCCAGGCATGGTAGCCCAGGCCTGTAGTTCTGGCTACTTGGAAGGCTGAAGTGGAAGGATCGCTAGGGTGGCCGTGAGTGTGGCACTGCACTCTAGCCTGGGCGACGGAGTGAGACTCCAACTCAAAAAAAACAAAAAAGCTGCTCTCTGGCTCTCTGCTCCTTCCATTCGACAGACAGTCACGTCTCTGTTGCAGCATCAGTCATGTGGTCTAGACACCAGGGCAAAGATGCAAGTCGGAGTGAACAGACTTGGCTGTATTGGGTGCCTGGTCACCAGGACTGCTTTTAGCTCTGGCAAAGTAGATATTGTCGCCATCGGTGATCCCTTCCTTGACCTTAACGACATCTTCCAGTACGACTCCACCCATGGCAAGTTGCACAGCACCATCAAGGCTGAGAACGGGAAGTTTGTCATCAGTGCACATCCTATCACCATTTTCCAGGAGCAAGACCCCAGCAAAATCAAATGGGGTGACGCTGGTACTGATTATGCGGAGGAGTCCACCGGTGTCTTCACTACCTTGGAGAAGGCTGGGGCTCACGTACAGGGGGAACCAAAAGGTTCATCTTCTCCGCCCCCTCCACCGACGCCCCCATGTTTGTGATGAGTGTGAACCATGAGAAGTACCAGAACGACCTCATGATTGTCAGAGAGGCCTCCTACACTGCCAACTGCTTAGCCCCCCTGGTCAAGGTCATTCACAGCAACTTTGGTATCGTGGAGGGACGATTGACCACTGTCCCTGCCATCACTGCCACCCCGAAGACTGTGGACGGCCTCTCTGGGAAGCTTGGCACGCCGACGGCAGGGCCCTCCAGAACCTCATCCCTGCCTCCAACGGCACTACCAAGGCCATGGGCAAGGTCATTCCTGAGCTAAATAGGGAAGCTCATGGGCATGGCCTTCTGTGTCCCCACCGCCAATGGGTCCATTGTGAACCTCACCTGCCATCTGGAGAAACCCACCAAATATGAAGGCATCAAGAAGCTGGTGAAGCAGGCAGCTGATGGCCCCCTCAAGGATCAAGGGCATCCTGGGCTTCACCGAACACCAGGCTGTGTCCTCCGACTTTAACAGTGACACCTGCTCTTTCACCTTTGATGCTGGGGCTGGCATTGCCCTCAATGACCACTTTGTCAAACTCATCTCTTGGCATGACAATGAATTTGGCTACAGCTACAGGGTGGTGGACTCGTGGCCCATATGGCCTCCAAGGAGTAAGAGCCCCTGGACCACCAGCCCCAGTGAGAGCACGAGAGGAAGAGAGAAGCCCTTAGATGCTGGGGAGTCCCCAACCACACTGAGAATCTCCCCTCCGCACAGTGCACATGCCAGACGCCCTGAAGAACGGGGGGATCCTAGGGAGCCCCACCTTGTCATGTACCATCAAGCAAGTCCCCTGTACTCAGCCAAAAAATAACTACTATCTGTAAGGTGTTCAGGATGATGCTTAATTTATAGTAACCCATGGCATAAGGGTTGATGATAATGATGGTTTTCTCATAGGTTTTCCACTCTAAAAAAATTTGAAAAGGGGAAATGTTCTTATTTACAAGGAGCAAATTCTTTTCTTCCCCATTTTTTTATTCTCACATTTCTTTTTAAACACGTTTTTTATTTTAAAGATGTAGGGTACAATTCAGGGTCAGGTATACACATGTTCATTATGCAGGTACCCTTGTGGATGCGGTGTGCCCCTCCCCCTGCAGATGCCCACTACTGCCGATCCCACCTCCACCCTCCTTTTCTTATAGTGTTACAATAATTGTTCAAGGTCCACTTATAAGTGAGAACATATGCTACTCAGTTCTTAGTTTCTGTGATAGGTCACTCAGTATGATGGATTCTAAGTCCATTCAGGTTGCTGTGAAGTTCATAATTTCGTTATAAGGTGCAAATTCTCTATGTGAATGCCAGCTGTAAATAACTAAGTTATCTTAGACATTCATCCCAGCCATATTCATAAAATGAATTATAGTGAATAGTAGACAGTTGGTTAGTTCCCCCTGCTGGATAACATAGAGATTGCAGGGCTCTTGACAAAAAATGTACACCATATCTGAAGAAAAAGTTGTTTTTCTGAAATTGAGGTGTGATTGAATACCAAAAGGTAGAAATATTTAATGTATACATATTGATGAGTTTAACTATAAGTAAATACCTATGAAGTCATCACTATAAAACGGTTTTTTTGGGTTATTATGGTTATAAAGTCAGAGTTCTGTAAACAAAAACATACATTTATAATTTAAGAAGAGCCGGGCTCGGTGGCTCAGCCTGTAATCCCGCGCCTTTGGGAGGCTGAGGTGAGTGGATTGCCTGAGCCCGCGGG